CTGGTGAAATTCGCACTTCTCGGCTTTCACGAACAGCTTGTTCTCCAGCAGTCTCTGCAAAACAAGGCGGACATGTTTCTTGTGTTCATCAAGGTTTTTGGAGTAAATGAGTATGTCGTCAATGTACACGAAAACAAATACATTGAGAAAGTCTCTGAGAACATCATTTACGAGGGCCTGGAAGCAGGCAGGAGCGTTAGTTAGACCAAAAGGCATTACCAAATATTCAAATTGGCCCAATGGTGTCTTGAAGGCTGTTTTCCATTCATCTCCTTCTCGGATCCTAAGGAGATGATAAGCGTTCCTTAAATCCAGTTTCGAAAACACTGTGGCTCCCTGAACGGGTTCGAATGCAGAGGCGAAGAGAGGGAGTGGGTATTTGTTCTTAATTGTGATCTGGTTCAAACCTCGGTAATCAATACATGGTCTCAGGGAACCATCCTTCTTCCCCACGAAGAAAAACCCGGCGCCCAAAGGAGAGGAAGATGGGCGGATTATTCCTGCAGCTAATGATTCGTTAATATATTTTTCCATGGTTTCTCTTTCAGGCTTGGAAATATTGTACAACCTGCTGCTAGGTAGTGGAGCACCAGGTAAAAGTTCAATGGCGCAATCATATGGTCTGTGTGGAGGTAGGGACGTCGCACTGACCTTACTGAAGACAGGGGCTAGGTCATGGTACTCAGAAGGAACTGAAGAAAGGTCAGGAGAGTCCATCTCCCCCCCACCTCTAGGAGACCCCACCAAGGGGGCAGCTGAACGAAGGCATGTTTCATGGCATGAGATGGACCACGATTCCAGGTGACGTTCAGTCCAATTTATGTGAGGATTATGCTTCTCCAACCATTCGAAACCAAGCACCAGCGGGGAACATGCAGAGGGAAAAACAAAAAATGTTATTGTCTCTCGGTGGTTACCTGACAGAAGTAGCTCGAGGGGCTGAGTTTGATGGGTAACTTGATGGAGTCTCTTTCCGTCAATAGCGGATACACTGAGAGGCTGAGTCAGAGGAATGGTTTCTATTTGGAGTTGTTGGACGAGGTTAGAATCGATTAAGTTCCGTTCACAGCCTGAGTCGATGAATGCAGAAAAAGAGAGGCTTTGGTTAGCACAGAACAACGTGGCAGGAAGTAACAGTCGAGGAGATTTCTTAGTGTTAATTTGGCCCGCCAGACTCCTCAGGTCCTCTGGCGGACCCAGGCTTTTGATTTAGCCGGGCAAGAAGCGATGAAGTGTCCACTCTCACCACAGTAAATGCATAATTTGCTTAGAAAACGCCTTTGCCTTTCCTCTGGGGTGAGCCTAGTGTGTCCCACCTGCATGGGTTCGACATCTCTTTCGCCCGAATGAGAGGCCTGAATGGGCAACGGAAGAGACTGGGACTTAGGTCTCTGAATGGACAAGATGGACAAGAAGAACAAACAGTCACGTTATGTGAGGCAGAAGAAAGTGTCCCCTGCTTCCTTGAACTGTTTCTGGCACGAATTCTATTGTCCAATCTAATGGAGAGACGGATTAGATCTTCGAGGGTAGCTGGTTCGTCGAGGGTTGCAAGCTCATCCTTAATGTGCTCATTTAATGCCATGAAAAAGGCTCCCTTCAGAGCGCTTTGGTTCCATCCGGAAGCTGCAGCTTTAACCCGGAAGTTGATGGAGAATTCAGCCACCGAAGAGTTTCCCTGTTTTAGATTGAATAGAGCTCTAGAATCAATAGTTTGGTCAGTTTCTTGGTTGAATACCTGAGTAAATTCAGAGATGAAAACAGAATAATAGCAGTTTAAGCTATCGTCGGCGGCAAATCTTGCCTGAGCCCATTCCAAGGCTCTTCCTGTTAACTGAGAAAGGATGAAGGTTATTTTCTTGTAATCCGTGGAAAAGCTGCCGGGGGAGTTCTGAAAAATCAAACGACATTGAAATAAAAATCCCTTGCAATCTTTCATGTTACCAGAAAATCTTTCTGGAAGACTAGGACGGAACTCTGATGACGTCACTGCTGGTGACCTCGGAGGTGGAACTGGACCCGGAAATGATTGTGGTACAGCATTAGCGCTGTTCAGATGATTCGCAAAGCTCTGTAACATGTGGTTATGAGTATCAACCAGGCGGTATAACTCACGGAGCGTTTGGGTTTGTCCCTGAATTTGGGCATCCTGCTCCTCCAATCGACGGGTGAGGTGATCTGCTGGGCCTTGAGTTTGGCCGCAGTGTTCTGTCATGATGGGTTCACTAAAAGCGACCCAAGTATGCAGAACACCACTGACGGACACAGGGATGAAAGTTTAACAAGTTTATTTTGCTCAAGCACACAGAATGTACTGGTTCGGGTTCGGGGCCTGGATACTGGTTCACCGGAGTCTGCGTGAGAGACAGTTCAGTTAGCGTTGCCAACAGAGGTTTGATTTCCTGAAGCTTACTGATTGTACCTTGAGGGTTCTTGAGGTTTAGCTTTGGGAGGGTCTCTGTTGGATCTGGAGAGGGGTTCATCAGCAGAGTCCGCTAGCTGCTTCAGCGTCTCACTTCTAGTAATGCACAGACCTTGGCTTTAGGTTTTCCAGCTCTTAGCCCTGAGCTGCTTGGAGGTTCTCTAGGATTCTTCAGGTTTGGCTCAGAGGGTCGGCTCGGCAGGTTAGCTCTTCCTGAGCTTCTCAGAGGAGACGCTGGTTTCCTGGAAGACAGAGACAATAGTTAGAATCCAGGCTGGATTCAAAGTCATAAGTTTCACTGAGGATCTAGGCTTAAGCGCTGACCAACTGGAACAACACTGCGGCGTTGAGGCAAGGTCTGAAGACAGCTTAAGTAGTGGATCCTCTGATGATCTTGATGAACTGCAGCTGTGCAGGAGGCTCCCTCAGAGGATCCACGGCGGACTCTGCTGGAGAAAGGTGGAACTTCTCCAGCTCCCAACACAAACTATTGATGCGCGTTTGTTCCTTCCACCAAATTTTCCATTATGTCACTGTGTGAATGCAAAACAAGGTAGGTTATCAAACCAAGTGTTATTGTTTATATCGTGCATTGCAATATATTGCTATTTTATATTGTGAATTGCATTTAGTTCCTATGCTCCACTTATCTGAAACAAACTTCCAGAAAACTGTAAAAGTGCGGAGAGCCTGAGTTCCTTTAAATCAAGACTAAAAACACATTTGTTTAGGATTGCCTTCGACTGTTCTAGTTAAAAACTTCTACTGAAACCATCACTAGTTCATCTTTTTTATTTTCTTTTGTCCAAGTGCTTTTAATGTTCTTTCTTGTTTCTGCATTTTTTTTATTTTTTATATTTTATTCTACTTGCTTTGATTTTTTTTTTTCCGATATTTTAATCATGTAAAGCACTTTGCATTGTCTTTGTATTTAATTGTGCTATACAAATAAATTTGCGTTGCCTTGCCCTTGCCTTGCCTTAAAAACACAACCCTCGATCTACTTATTAGTGTACAAACAAAATCAAATTTCAAATGTATAAAAGAAAAGCAGAAAACAAATTTAAAATGCATTTGTATTAAAATTATGTTGTAATATATTCTTTAAAAATTTTGCTTACATTCAATTTTGCTTTCCTTTATTCTGATATCTTTTATTGAAATCCATTTTCACAAGGATCCCTGTAATCAATATCGGCATTCTTTGATTTCTCCAGTTCTTTTAATACAATATAAATATGCTTTCTGTTTTTCCACCTGGAGTAATCAGTGGATACTCCATTGCCTTAATGATCGTCAGCAGGAGGTGAGAACACAGGAGTGTGACTCTGACTGGCTGGTCTGCAGTTTGTGGGACACTGCAGGAAACTGTGCTGGCAAAACTCCTGTTCACCCTCTCTACTTGCAGACATCTCCATCACCTCTCCAGGCTTCCATCTTCAGAAGTTCTCAGACAGTTCTGCATTAATTGGCAGGAATCATAGGTGAGGACGCCTTTAGAGAATAGACAGAGAATATAGAACTTAGTAGAATGATGCCAACAGGATTACATTATCATGCAGATACAGAGCAACTGACACTGGTGAATATCCAGGGAATGATGTTGAGATCATCTGGATGTTCACCTTAACAATAAACTGTGCAAAACTGTCAGCACTGGTGCCCTTTACAGGGAAGGGTCTGATTATTAATATAATGTATTTAGTGTGTTTATTACAGTCCTTATTGAACTGTAATAAAAATCGCTTTACTATTTCATCATTTTGCTTCATTCTATGTCTATTCTTCCACTCTGCAGAATCTGTTAGTTCAATTTCTAACGTTATGCTCTCTCTGCTTTTTCTCATAGTAGCTTTGCCTCGTCTGTTCCTGTTTGGCTGTGACACCATCCTGGAGAGAAATATCAGCTGTGCTGCTGCCCTCGACACCTTTGTTTATAGATGTTGGAGATCGGCCTGTTCTTCCATTGTAGCCCTGTTTCTCTGACTGTGACTGACTGGATGTGCTCTCTTCATCCTCTGAGAGTTGGCTCAGAGCTCCTCTGCCTGGCTTTCTTGACGAGGCCGCCTTTCACAGTTGTTTTTTGTATCTATGCTTCTGTCTCCTTGAACCCAAGTCGGCCTCGGCAGATGGCCGCTCACACTGAGCCTGGTTCTGCTGGAGGTTTCTTCCTGTTAAGAGTTTTTCCTCTCCACGGTCGCCACAACAAGCATGCTTAGTGTGAGGGATTGCATTCCAGTCAATGACTGGATGCAATCAACTGGTTTTCCTTAGATAGAAAACTTTGAATCAATTTGACAGTATGATCTGGTGAACTGTAAAGTGCCTTGAGATGACATGTGTTGCTATATAAATAAACTGAATTGAAATTGAATTGCTCAAAAATACATTTATTTATATATATATATATATATATTGTTTTTGCTCATTTAGTATATTGACAATTTGAAGACATTCTGATTTTAAATAAGTGAACAAAAACGGTTAAGTAATCTAAAATTATCCCTAACACCATGCCGAACACAGAAATAAGCTACCAGGAAATCATTGGCTAAATTCAGTCACGTGATCACGTTAACCCGGAAGCACTCTGAATTTTTAACCAGTCACAGCAATTCATTCGTTGATGTACATCGCTCACACCGTCAGGTACCCAATTTATGGTTTTACAATACCAATTTAACACATTTTAGAGACACATTTGACATTGTATATGACGGAGGGTTTAATTTCTTAACTAGTAGAATTATTTGGAAAGTTTTAGATATCCTCGTATTTACGTCTTCACTTTTAACGAGTTTATGATAAGTCCTGTTCACCGGTATCCTCCCAGGAGTGACACTTGGTGCTAATCTAGGAGCTAACTAGAGTTTCAGTTAGCATTTCCGTTTTTATTTTCTAACAAATTACTGTTTTATCTAGTTAGTTGTGTCGAGGGCCCTCCGACGGGGCAGGTTATTCTCACTCGCGGCTCGTGACAGCCAGCTAGCCCCGTAGCTAACCTGCAGCTGGGCGTTGATTTCAAAACAGAACAGCAAATAATACCACAGATGTTCAATTGTGTCTTTTTGCTTGCTGTTCAGAAGGAAGAGTCGTGATTTTTAGAAGATACCGAAACACCCCCTTCCCCTCACAGCATGGCTGCAGAACTGATGGTGATTGACGACTCTCTGTACAGGCAAGTGTCGGGCTGTTATCTCTCATTAATTAACCCGACAGCACAGATAAACATGGCGGGGCGTTCAGGTCAGGAAATGACGGCGCCCTTCCCCTCGCAGCAGTCCCTAATCCTCACACTTTCTCCTCCTTCTTCTTCTCCACTCAGCCGCCAGCGTTATGTACTTGGAGACAGTGCTATGCACCAGATGGCCCAGTCCTCAGTCTTCCTCAGTGGAATGGGAGCACTGGGAGTGGAGATAGGTTGGTTGGAAATTTCTTTTTTAATTGTAATGTGATTTAAAAGAAACGTTACTAACTACCTTTGCTCTATTTGTATTTTTCTCAGCAAAGAATATAACCCTGGCTGGTGTAAAGGTAGGAGTTTTCTTGATGTTTTAAGCACCCTGTTGGATTTTTAACTTTCTAGAGTCTCAAATTTCTATTCCTGTTTTGTTTTCTGTTCAGTCCCTTACGCTTCATGACACAAAAAAGTGCGAGACCTGGGATCTGGGCTGCAACTTCTTTATCCGCAGCGAGGATGTGTTGAGTCATAGAACCAGGTAATGTGGAGGATGTTGAGGGCAGCTCTTAAAATGTTATTGTGGACTTTTAAATTGGCAGAGGAACTGTACATTTTTGGTTTGTGAATGTAATAAAGAACTTCAGTTTAATTGAAAGCATAGTCTTTGTTTAAGTTTAGTTGATTGCTGGATAGTTGGTCATTTTTAAATCAGAAATGGTTTCCTGACAAGTTGCCTTTTGTATCTCTGCTTCTGTCTGCTTGAACTTCAGTCGGTCTCGGCAGATGGCCTGTTAAAAGGGAGTTTTTTCCTCTCCACTGTCACTACAAGCATGCTGATTGAGAGGGATTGCCTTTGAGTCAATGAGTCGATCAATCAACTGGTTTTCCTTAGATAGGAAACTTTGAGGAATCTGACTGGATGATCTGGTGAACTGTAAAGTGCCTTGAAATGACATGGGTTGTGTAATTGGTGCTATATAAATAAACGGAATTGAATTGAAATGGGCCAGCTTTAGTGCACAGTCCATCCATTTTCAGTTGGGTTTAATTTTGAGCAAGATTAGTAGTGTTAAGGCTGATTAAGACTCAGAAATTAGGTCGTCTGTGTGTGTCGCAGTGAGTGCAAATGCACTTCCGCCCCTTCCGCAGAGACTCTGGTGCCCCTCTCTCAAATTGTAGATGACCGCAAACAGTGCCACAGACAGCAGGCATCTGATTTGTCAAATCTACATCCACTCTACACTATCTATATTTCCTGTGTGGTACCTTTCCGGCTTCTTTTGTTTGTATGACCGCCGTTGTTGAAAACAACTCGTGAAGTTGGCTCAGCTAGAAGAGTGAGGTGTGTGAGAATGCTGGGACCCTTTTTCCACCTGGATCCCCGATCTTATTCGCCCTCATGTCCCTGCGTTGTCGCACAAACTTGCCCCCACTTCCTCACTGCAACACACTGCTGCGGGGAGTATAACCATCCCTTTAGCCTACTGAGTTGTGTATTGGATCATTGTCTTGTAGTTACATTTAGCTGTGTTTATATTTGAACAATCTAGCTGCGGATTGGAGGAAAAAGTTAAATGATTTTGAGGTACCCCACTATTGTTCCAGATGCTTTGTTTATTACACATCTGGAAGAAACTGAGCTATGGTATTTATTATGTTTTGGTTGGACCCTGCTGTTTCAGCAGCTGTAGTTTAGGATAAGTTTGACCCTTAGATTTTTCATGTCTTATTTTAAGCATCCTTGCTCATTTATTTTAAGGTAAGTTTGTCACTTTGGTTAGAATTGGTGAAACTTGAACTTGATTTGGTGCTTAAGCAAGAAAATTACCCTAAAGACATAGCATGCTGGTTTTTGAATGGAAGAAGGCAAGCTAAGGTCAAGCTTCGGTGAGCTCCAGCTGTAACCATGTTTCAAATGTATGGAGGATGATTAAAGTTCAAGTTAGCTCAGCCGTTCCTTGTCGTTTAATGTCGGATGTCAAAGGCTTGTTAAAAGGCTATGTTGTGCTGTTTCAGGGACTAGCTATGGGACATGTATCCGAATATGTGAAGAAATGCCTGTATGTGTTTCAGCCGGTACTTTGGTCATGTGGGAATTAGGGCTGAAATGATTCATTGTGATTGACCGATTATTGAAATAATCTTTTCATCGTTAACTAGAATATAGAGACTAAAACATGCCTTAAGCTGACAGAGTGACCCACTTAGAGCAGTAATTATACAAAAATTGTACTAAATATATATGTATAAGTATTTTTCATTTAGGTAAAAAAAACAAAAAACATTTTCGTCTGTCAGTATGCTCTATCCAGAACTCCACAAGTGGAAAAGTTAGTTTTTTACCTGGTTTAATTCTGTAAAAAAATTTATTTAAGGAACCTTTTGCTATCTGACTATTAATTGATTAATAATAAAAATAACATATTAATCGATTAGCAAAATAATCATTAGTTGCAGTCCCAGTTGGAATCAATAAACAATAAATATGTCCATCTAGGGTTTTCTTTTTTTTTATACCACCGTGGAAAAGGAAAGTTACTCAAACACATGATTTAAAGCCAGAAATGTGCACGTCCATGGTGACAGTTATACACATATACATATAATCCCTGACTGGAAATGTGTTTTGTTTAGATTAAATAAAGCCATAGAAAAACAGGCAACAGAAACTGAAATAAGTTGTACCTATTAAAGTTTTACTTTGATTGAGAATAAATCCACTTTTTTTTAACAAGTTGTATCCTGTTTTCGATGTTAGATTTTACTCTTGTTAAAAAAACCTGATGCTTCTGTTTCAGGGTGGAGGCAGTCTGCCCTCGGGTTGCTGATTTAAACCCATATGTCCAAGTTGACATGACCTCCTTGCCTGTGGATGACAACAGTGATCTAAGTTTTCTCAGAAAATATCAAGTAAGTTGGTGCTTTTAAAAACAAAAAAAAGAGTCATATCTTTGAGGGAGTTGCTTTCAGTCTAGGTAAATGGCTGTCAAACACTCCAGCCTCCGGATTTGTATTTTGTACTGATTTGTTTGTGTAGTCATGTGAACTCTCAGTCCTGGGGATTAATAATCCAGCTGCAGTAGTGCTTGTTCCCTGGTTAAATTCAAAGTAATTACTGTTAATCAATGGAGGATGGAAAAACAAATGACAATATATAGTTTATAAGGTAACAAGCTTTAGCAAGGAACTATCAGATCAGGTTAAAAATGCTGAAACAATATCCTAATGTTTAGGATTCCAACAGAAGGCTTTAATGAAGTAAGCTACTAATAATGTCAGTATCATCAAAGTTTTTTTTTATTCCAGATTTGACTCAAATCAAGATTGCTTGCATTGACTGTTGCTGATTTATTATTCCTTCGCTGTCATTCTTTCCACTCCAGTGTGTAATTTTGACAGAGGCCAGTTTGAGCCTTCAAAAGAAAGTGGATGCCTTCTGCCACTCCCAGCAGCCCCCCATTAGAGTAAGGCTCTAACCCAACCTTAATGACTCAACCTCCAAAGGCTGCATTTGAAACCAAACCCTGTTACCTCTCTGTTGTCCCCAGTTTATCTGCGGTGATGTGTACGGCATCTGTGCACGCCTGTTTTGTGATTTTGGGGAAGAGTTTGAGGTGTCCGATCCCACAGGAGAGGAGCCCAAAGAAATTTTTATCCAAAGTATCACTCAGGTAGAGTTTTTGCTCTTCTATTTGGTGCATCCAGCTCTTCTTAAACTTGATCCCCTTAAAACCAAACATGATCCTATTCTAATTCAGGATAATCCTGGGATTGTAACCTGCATGGACAACCGCCCCCATGGCTTACAGACGGGTCAGAGTGTTATTTTCAGGGAGGTCCAGGGGATGGTGGAGCTAAATGGGACTGTGCGACAGGTCACAGGTATCGTCTCTCCTGTACTGCATTAAAAATATATCTACTGTTTAAATAAATTACCAGTAAACTAAGTTATGTTTTTTTTTCTTCTTTATTTTGCATGTGGTTCCTTTGGTATGATTGTGTCGTTTTAGTCCTTTCTCCTCACAGCTTCGAGATAGGAGATACATCACAACTACAATCATACGCACATGGTGGTTTCTTTGTAATGGTGAAAACCCCCAAGACGTATTCTTTTGTAAGTAAATTCGTTTGTCTCTGCAGATGTTTCGTTTTGAGAAAATGGAAATAAATCTTGATAAAATAAATCATGTACTGCTTGGCTTTGAATTGTAATGTGATATGTCTTCTAGGATACGTTAGAAAAACAGCTGTGTGATCCTCAGGTCTTGATTCCAGACTTCAGTAAACCAGAGGTAAGAATGGGAGGCCCACTTCTCCAAGTTGTGACTCTTTATTTAATTGGATTTAGAGATACACAGTATTTAGAATGTACAATATTGAAATCAGTGTGGAATTAGGGCTTTTGGTAATTAGGAGCCTGGAATTGGTCAATAATTGATCTACTCACTAGACGTTTCCAAACATTTAAGCAGAAAAAAATATATAGCAAAGTAGTAAATAGGGTTTATCTATGTCTTAGGCTTGAGTAAGTATGACAAATTAAATCAGTTGGATAGATGTTTGGATTTTACGGCTTTATTTGCTATTTTATTCCCTAAAGAGTCACCTTGTCTGTATTGATCCTCCGTCTGTCCAGTGTTCCTAGCCTGTCAATTCTGTCCATGATTTCTCGGTCCATGCATTAAGTTTTGTTTTGCTTTAAATTAATCGTTAACTGTTTAATTTTATTATTTAAAACTGAAAACAATGATTTCCTGAGAACTTTGATATTAATAATAATATGGAAATGTAAGACGCCTGTAAATGAAAGTGTAAATCAGGATAGAGCTTCCTTATGGAGAAAAGAAAAGTAATGCTGATAAAAACACAAGGGTTGTGCTTTTACGGTCAGTAGCCAATTCATTTCATTGGAATAGATGGAAGAAAAAGAATGTCCTTTTCCTCATTTATTTTAATACACAACTTTAAAAACCTTACATCAGACAATCATCCTTTTATCCACCTGCTAAACAAGCTAATTCTAATGTCTTTATTCTGGTTTAGTGCTCAGGTTTTCTCTTATTCTTCTTTGATCCACCCTTCAGGCTCCTCTACAGATCCACGCTGCCATGCTGGCCCTGTATGACTTCCAGGTCAAGCACTCTAGACTTCCCAACATTGGGTAAACAGACTTTCTCTGGCCTTTTTTTTTCTTTCTACATTCACTGCAATTTCTGACTTTAGCATACTCTATCTTCAGGCTTATGATAAAAATAAAAAGATATTTAAAACTGCAGGAAAGAGGCATTTAAACGGTTCTGCTATCATTGCCAGGTGCTCACAGGATGCTGAGGTTTTACTTAAGCTGACCGAGGAAGTCAATACAACAATGTTGAACAAAGTGAGCTTTTTCTCCTTTTTTCCTTCTTACTTTGGGATCAACAATCATACACAGTTATTTATTCTTAGCTCGGTCTCCTTCTTGTCAGGTTCCTGTGAACGCTGAGGTGGTTCGCTGTCTGTCTCGGACAGCCAGGGGAACTCTGCCTCCGTTGGCTGCCGCTGTGGGGGGAATAGCAAGTCAGGAAGTTCTCAAGGCCATTACTGGGAAATTTGCACCCCTGCAGCAATGGGTAGGAGTAAAGTTGTAACATGTAAAGGATCACCCTATTTTGTGCTCCATTTTACTCTGTTAATTCAACCTCCTCCTCTCTAATTGTTCAGTTTTATCTGGACACCATCGAGCTGGTCAGGCCTCTTCAGTCTCTTGCTGTTGAGGAGTTTTCCCCTCAGGGTGACCGATATGATGCATTACGAGCCTGCATCGGTGAATCATTGTGTCTGGATCTGCACAAGCTCAGGGTCTTTATGGTAGGAGTTTGGCTTTATCAGGAGGGTATATGCATTCAATAAAGGATGTTAAAGCCAAAGAAAGCTGAATTTGTTTCACTTCTTAGGTTGGCTGTGGTGCCATCGGCTGTGAAATGCTCAAAAACTTTGCTCTTCTTGGTGTGGGATTGGCCAAGAGCTCTGGAGAGGTGGGCATCTTCCCCGCTCTTCTCTCCTAATTTACCATTGTGTCCATCTCCTTATGTCATCAAGCTTAACTGAATGTTTTGCCCGTGTTACATCTAAGGTTTGCGTCACAGACCCAGACCTCATAGAAAAGTCTAACCTCAACAGACAGTTTCTCTTCAGACCCCACCACATACAGGTGAGTTATGTTTCAGTTAAAGCCGTCAGATGAACTACAATTAGCAGGTTAGCAGGTCAGTTATGTTGTCTTTTCTGTCTTAGAAGCCAAAAAGTACCACAGCAGCAGGCGCCACTCTTGACATCAACCCAGAGCTGCAGGTGGATGCTCACCTGAACAAGGTTTGTCCAGCCTCTGAGAACATCTACAGTGACTCTTTCTACTCCTCCATGAACGTGGTGGTTACCGCGCTGGACAATGTGGAGGCAAGGAGATACGTGGACAGGTGGGTCTCTCAAAGGGTCTTCATCCAAAATGATGTGCATATCGATAGCTGCTATTTTGCATAACTATTTGGGGAAATGTTAGCTTGCTATTAGAGATGCCTAGCAATGTGGCTGATTTAGGAGAGGGGAAGGTTTTAGCTGATTTTGAGGTCTCCTTAAGAGTGTTTACAAACTTAGAAAGAAAAGTTATGTTTCTATATCTACTGCCCTAAAGATGAAACTTTTTTTTAATATAAAATGCTAGAAAAAGGAAGCAATGTCTCTTTCCTGGAAAACTTTGAAAACAGGGAAATCCTGGAAGTTTTGTAATCCAGTGTGTTTCACAACGTACGCAGTTAAGTGGGGAAGCTTTGCAGGAAAGTTTGCTTCGTGTTGCCTGCTGGGTAGCTGGCTTTGGGTATGTTTGATTTCAGACGCTGCATCCTTCAAAGACCAGTTCTTGCCGGACTGAGTCCTTCGAGGTCTTTGAAAATAAGAAGACCGGAGGAGTTTTAGCTGTTGATTCAAACAGGTCCAACCTTCTCTGGCTTTCACCAACCGTACACTATCCGTGACAATTGACACACAAAGCAGGCAAAAAGTGGATGCCGAACTTCTTCCTGATGTTCTATGTGCTAATAACATTGTTCAGCTTCAGCAGCAGTGCCGTCGTCACTAATATCAGATTTAGTCTCCACACTGCAGGGAATTGGAATCTGAGCTTAAATGTCAGCCAAACCCATTTACACAGACACAGATAAAACCTTTCAATAAACTAAACATCAGCCGCCACATATCTGACTCAATAACCATTAAAAAAACTTTTTATTAATTTCAGACGCAGCTATTCACATTCTTGTATTATATTAAACTGCACTTACAACATGAACCACTGTTTAGCACCAAGTACCTTTTTCCTCTGAGAACAGAGCAGCCGGCCTCCTTTGACTTGCAATATATCATACACAATCATACACAAAACTCGTCCTTCAAAACGGGAAAAAGAAGGCTGCATTGGTCAGCCGCATCACGAGGAGTCTTTCAATCCGAACAGGCCTCAGCGCCACGCTATGACGTAATCGGCCTACGAATCTGGCCTTCAAAGGGACAGCCTCTGAATTCGAACTCAGCATTTGAGTCACCTTCACTCTAGAACAAATGAGGACTACTGTATTTTCGCGACTATAAGGCGCATATAAATGTCTTTTTTTTTTTTTCCTCAAAATGTGCGGCGCGCCCTATAGTGCGGTGCGCCCTATGTGTGTTGTTACTGCGGACGTTGTTGAGACCACCATGAGAACGTTAAAGGGGGGAGTGTGGGCGTGGATTGGCAAATGGACAGAAACTGCCGCCTATGGTGATTTTTAAGAGAAAGACTTTGCCTAAAGATACTTTTCCAGCTGGAGTCGTTATTAAGGCAAATGAAAAGGGCTGGATGGATGAGGAGATGAAGAAAGCGTGGCTGAGGGAGTTGTATGTAAGGAGACCAGGTGGTTTTTTCCACGCATCACCGTCACTGTTAATCTGTGACTCCATGCGTGCCCATCTCACAGCTGATGTGAAAAACATGGTGAAACAAATGAACGCTGTGCTCGCCGTTATCCCGGGGTCTGACAAAGGAACTTCAACCGCTCGACATCGGTGTGAACCGGCCGTTCAAAGTAAGGCTGCGAGCGGCGTGGGAGCGATGGATGACAGACGGAGACCACAGTTTCACGAAAAGTGGAAGGCAGCGCCGGGCAAGTTACGCCACCGTTTGCGGATGGATTGTTGATGCTTGGACTAACGTGTCTGCTGGCACTGTTGTTCGAGCTTTCGCAAAAGCCGGCATAATTTCCAAGGAGCCACACGGCACGGAAAGTGACTCTGACAGCGAAGAAGGGGAAACTGGCATGTCTGATTTAGTGCAGCTGTTTAATTCAGAAACAGAGGATGATGACTTTGATGGGTTTGATTAATACTTTGTAATAAATACTTGAATAAAGCACAAACATACTCAGTTTTGCTCCCGCTCTATTTTTAAATACGCAGTAGAGGTAATTAAACGTAGTAGAGGACATGTACCTGTATATAATACCTGCGCCCTATAATCCGATGCGCCTTACAGGTGCTGGTCGTAAAATTAGAATATCATGAAAAAGTAGATTGATTTCAGTAATTCCATTTAAAAAGTGAAACTTGTATATTATATTCATACATTACATACAAACTCATATATTCCAGATGTTTATTTTGTTTAATTTTGATGATTACAAATGACAACAAATGAAAATCTCAAATTCATCATATCAGAAAATTAGAATATTGTGAAAAGGTTCAAAATTGATGGCCCCTGGTGCCACACTCTAATCAGCTAATTAACTCAAACCACCTGCAAAAGCCTTTAAATGGTCTTTCAGTCTAGTTCTATAGGCTACACAATCATGGGGAAGACTGCTGACTTGACAGTTGTCCAAAAGACGACCATCGACACCTTGCACAAGGAGGGCAAGACACAAAAGGTCATCGCTAAAGAGGCTGGCTGTTCACAGAGCTCAGTGTCCAAGCACATTAATAGAGAGGCGAAGGGAAGGAAAAGATGTGGTCGAAAAAAGTGTACAAGCAAGAGAGATAACCGCACCCTGGAGAGGATTGTGAAACAAAACCCCTTCAAAAATGTGGGGGAGATTCACAAAGAGTGGACTGCAGCTGGAGTGAGTGCTTCAAGAACCACCACACACAGACGTATGAAAGACATGGGTTTCTGCTGTCGCATTCCTTGTGTCAAGCCACTCTTGAACCACAGACAGCGTCAGAAGCGTCTTGCCTGGGCTAAAGAGAAACAGGACTGGACTGCTGGTGAGTGGTCCAAAGTCATGTTCTCTGATGAAAGTAAATTTTGCATTTCCTTTGGAAATCAAGGTCCCAGAGTCTGGAGGAAAAGAAGAGAGGCACTTCATCCACGTTGCTTGAAGTCCAGTGTAAAGTTTCCACAGTCAGTGATGGTTTGGGGTGCCATGTCATCTGCTGGTGTTGGTCCATTGTGTTTTCTGAGGTCCAGGGTCAACGCAGCCACATACCAGGAAGTTTTAGAGCACTTCATGCTTCCTGCAGCTGACCAACTTTTTGGAGATGCAGATTTCATTTTCCAACAGGACTTGGCACCTGCACACAGTGCCAAAGCTACCAGTACCTGGTTGAAGGACCATGGTATCCCTGTTCTTAATTGGCCAGCAAACTCTCCTGACCTTAACCCCATAGAAAATCTATGGGGTATTGTGAAGAAGAAGATGCAATACACCAGACCCAACAATTCAGAAGAGCTAAAAGCCACTATTAGAGCAACCTGGGCTATCATAACACCTGAGCAGTGCCACAGACTGATCGACTCCATGCCACGCCGCATTGCTGCAGTAATACAGGCCAAAGGAGGCCCAACTAAATACTGAGTGCTGTACATGCTCATACTTTTCATGTTCATACTTTTCAGTTGGCCAACATTTCTATAAATCCTTTGTTTTTATTGGTCTTCAGTAATATTCTAATTTTCTGATATGATGAATTTGAGATTTTCATTTGTTGTCATTTGTAATCATCAAAATTAAACAAAATAAACATCTGAAATATATGAGTTTGTATGTAATGTATGAATATAATATACAAGTTTCACTTTTTAAATGGAATTACTGAAATCAATCTACTTTTTCATGATATTCTAATTTTATGACCAGCACCTGTATGTGTGTGTTAAATACAGTAATGGCACACATAACTGAGACTGCGTCTTTTAGTACCTTGCGCCTTATGGTCGTGAAAATACGGTAGTAGGAAAAAGGATCATTTTCAATCTTCAGAGGTGTCTCTACTCATGAGAGAGGAGAGCCACTGTCTCTTCAGTTGGTTTAGGTTGCTTCTTTCTATCTAGAGTTTATCCCAGCTTCTTGATGTTCCTCAGTTTAAATGTTCGATTGTTTGTTATTTGTTCTTACTGTTGCAGTGGGGGAAAAAAGTATTCAACTATTTACTCCAGTTAAATAAACTGAGATCGATGGATTTCACTCAGTCTGCACTCTATTTTCATCTTTGCTAAGAGAGAACAGTTCATCATACGGCCCTTATTGCTTGGTAATCAGCCCTGCTCTGCCTGGGCAGCATTCGTTCCCACTTACTTACAACAATGGAAAGTTGTCATATTCAAAACAAATTATAGACACTTTGGTTGAACAGTAACATGTTATGAAAACCTTGAGAAAGAATCTCGTTTCTTATGGGAAGAAGGCATGTCTTGTCTATAAACACCCTCACGCAGGGGAATTTTGTGGCCTTGTGGGTGAAACGGGCTGAGTGAAAACTTTTATAGTGAGTAAATAGCATAAATTGATATATGAAGTAAGAGAAACTAAACTTTCCTGACCGTACTGTATTTTTAGCCGCTGTGTTTCCAATCAAAGACCTCTCTTGGACTCGGGCACCATGGGAACTAAAGGACACACTGAGATTATCGTCCCAAACCTAACAGAGTCGTACAATAGCCATGTGAGTCTTACTTTCTGGACTGTTTTTCTGTGTGTTCTTCCCATCCTGAGCTCTGTGTCGTTTATCCCCCCCCCCAGAGGGACCCCCCTGAGGAGGAGATCCCATTCTGCACTCTCAAGTCTTTCCCTTCGGTTATAGAGCACACCATCCAGTGGGCCAGAGATAAGGTCTCGCTGCAGTCGATTTGAGAATTATGTCCCTATATGGAGTATTTTCTAATGCTTTTCTTTTTGCTTTGGTTATCTAGTTTGAAAGCTCCTTTTTCCATAAGCCTTCCATCTACAACTCATTCTGGCAGACCCACCCTTCAGTCGACGTCGTGCTGCAGGTAAGATTTGTTACTCTTTTTTCGTTTATTTCCCCTCTTGCTCATTTGGCATCTCTGTGATAATGTCTGCTCTGTCTGTAGAGGATGCAAGCAGGGGAAAGTCTGGAGGGATCCTTTCAGGTCATTAAGCTGCTGAGCAAACGGCCGAGTCAGTGGAAGCAGTGCATCACCATCGCCCGTCTGAAGTTTGAAAAGTATTTCAAAAGAAAGGTATCTGGTCTCAACCTTCAGATGCATAAGAATAAGGCTAAAAAGATTAAATGTGGAAATATTTACATCACATCTGTTCTGCTCACTATTTAGGCCCTGCAGCTGTTGCACTCATTCCCTCTGGAAACCAGGTTAAAAGATGGGAGTGAGTTTATTTGTTACTTTGTGTCTAATTTATGAGATCATTATAATTATCCACAAAGTAACACGTCTCAAACTTTGTGTTTTTTAAAGGTTTATTTTGGCAGTCCCCGAAAAGACCCCCAGCACCAATTGATTTTGACTTGAAAGACCCATTGTGGGTAGAATTTTGTATTTTATAGTCTAATTCCTGTCTTCCAATTCTAACCCTTTTGTTATTGTTTTTTTAAATCAGGCACTTCACTTTCATTGTCAGCACAGCACGGCTCTATGCAGAGGTTTATAATATTGCCTTCTCAGAAAAAGTAGGTCATACACACAGCTGAGCTGATATTGTCTATTAAATATTGAATCACTGACTGGCTGGATGTTTTTTTTCATCAGGATCTTTCTGAAGACGCTGTGGCCAGGATTCTTTCTGATGTCAAGATTCCTGAATACAGACCCTCAGAAAAAGTAGGTTCCGCTGCTCATTTGCCTGTCTGTATTTATTTATTTTTGTCACTTTGAGAAAAAATAATGCTGGTTTTATTTTGATCTGCTGGTTCTAGTGTATAGAGACGGATGAGACGGCAAGGAAGCCAGACGCCATTAAGATGCCTCTGAGCAGCGAAGAGGAGAGGGAAGCCATCGCACAACTTGAGCAGGCAATCGTTGATAACAAGGTCACACCAGGTAGCGCAGACATCCTGAAGTGAACTCATGTACAATTCAAAAGCCGGCTTTCTCAAATTATATTTGAAGCGATCAGTCTTTATAATGGGGCTTTTTGATGTGCAGAGGGTTTACAGATGAGGCCCCTTCAGTTTGAAAAAGACGACGACCGCAACGGTCACATTGATTTTGTCACGTCAGCGTCGTCCATCCGAGCCAGGATGTACTCCATCGAGCCAGCGGACAGGCTGAAGACCAAACGCATCGCTGGGAAGATCATCCCCGCTATCGCTACGGCAACGGCTGCTGTGGCCGGACTGGTAAGAACAGCGATCTAACACATTATGTTGGGAGATTTTTATGTTTTTAACATGAAACCAGATTACATTGTTGTTTTGCTGATGAAGATTCTCAGTCATCCAGGTCATAGTTTTGTCACCTCTCCAGTGGCGAAACGTCTTCAAATCTTGGAAACCAAGTCCAGTGGATTTTTTTTTACTTTTACGGAATGAATACATTGTTGTTTTGTTTTTATTAATTTAATATAATGCCTGATGCTATTTTCAGACCGCAATCGCTGGAAGCAGCAAAAAAAAGCTTCTGCTGCTTCATCTTTTATGCTTTTCCACATTAAGGTCAGATGCACGTCAACAGCAGTTTGATGCTACGGAAGTGTGTACAGATGCAGCTGATGCTTCTGCTGCTCCTGTGTTCAATGGCAGAGAGCGGCTTTGCTATATTTGCTGTTATAAGTGGGTAAAAAGTAGTTTTAAGTGAGAAAGTCCACCTCAAATCTTTGTCTGTCCTGTCAGTTAATCAAGATATGCCATAAAATATTATTTCGCTGTTGGAGCCTAATAGACCGGCGGTGCGCTGTCATTTGGAATCACGTTCAACAGCAGCCTCTGGCCCGGTCGCCTCTTCGGGGGTTTCCGCTACTGTTCCCGGCAGCTGGAAGGCGTTTCTCATCTATGTAATTCAAACTGCAGGCACCTAAATAATAAAATCCAACATATTTTTCTGGCAGGTTTTGAAATTTTAAAGCCGTAGGGAAACAGCTGTTCCAAACGTCGCCTTTCTAAATTTTCCCGAGTGGTGCACGGTTTTACACGAGTGAATAAAGTGAATGTGATTGGTCGTTAAACAAGGGGGCGGGATTGTTGTGGTGGAACTTTAATCAAAGTTCAAGGTTTTAAAATTAAAATGTGCTAAAAGTAAAGAGTATCAAGTTTTAGATGTAATCATCGTTTTGGGAGATTCTCTACCAGCTTTGTGCTTCCAGTCTAGGGAGGGTCGAACTGATTTCCAGAAAGGGCCATGTGGCTGCTGGTTTTATGTCCAACCAAGCAGCAGCACAACAGACTGCATTCATCACATTGAGTTAGTCCAGTCTCCAGTAATTCATTCTCCCGTTCTTGGCCTCTTGATAAATAAACGTCTCTCTATATCTAAAGTATTCCCTTTGATCTGTGTTGAATGCTAACATTTGGAGTACTGCTTTTAATTATTTAGGTGGCGCTGGAGTTGATCAAGGTGGTCGGTGGCTATGAATTTGAATCGTTCAAAAACTGCTTCTTCAACATGGCCATTCCAGTAGTGGTGCTCACTGAGCCCGCCCCGGTTAAAAGGACGCCCATCAGGTAGAAGCACCAGCATACTTCCACCTTAAGTTAATCATAACAAATGTTTGACCTTTTAATATGTCTCACTACAAGAGTTTTTTTTTTATTTTTTGAAGGCATTAATGTAGCATCTTTTCCAGGAACAATATCTACTTTTCCATTTGGGACTGTTGGACTATCTTCGGTCACGAGGACTTCACTCTGTCTGACTTCATGAATGCAGTGAGGGTGAGACTTTCATTTCTACGATGATTTTTATTTTCTATTCATCAACGGGTTTATAAAAAGAAAAACAGGGTGATGGGTTAGAATCACAGATCAGATATGAGTATTATGAGATTATCATTGTTTAGGCATTAAATAATCTGTTTAAAAGAACTGTATTTGGTTTATTGAAATCCAAAAGCGCGCCACAAAACAAGCTGTTGGGTGAAGCATTTATAAATTAAAAATAGAATTAGTTTTCATGCATTTAATGAACCAGCTGATCACTTCTCAAGTGCAAAGAGTCCAACTGTAAATAATGCAATGACTGAATATTGTCCCTATAGTTATATTTGCTGATTTAATATGTTTGTGCAGGAAAAGTACGGGATCGAACCGAGCATGGTTGTCCACGGCGTAAAGATGCTCTATGTGCCTGTGATGCCAGGACATTCTAAAAGACTGAAATTGACGTAAGATCTTCCATCCAAAAACATTTTTATTCTCCGGTCTCCATTTTATTAACGGATGCATTTAACCTGCATTTCCCACAGGATGCAAAAGCTTATCAAGCCATCAGCAGCCCGGCACTATGTGGACCTCACCGTGTCATTTGCTCCAGAGTCGGATGGAGACGAGGACCTCCCAGGTCCTCCTGTCAGATACTACTTCAGCCCGGACAGCAAGGCGCCCTGACAGCTCCAGAGATGTCGCCCTCAAAAACCTACTGTGTCCTTATCTCTCTTAATTAAAGCACTCTGTTGTACTCCACTCCCCCCATCAGGAACAGGAGCCTTTAGGGACAAGAGTTCTCCCTGCAAGCTTCTTTAATTTGAATGCGACAAAGCTCCCATCCCCGGCACCCCCCCTCATCTCAGAGCTTCATGGAGGAAGAAAAGCAGACATGCTTCAAATGGCCAGAGGACGTCAAAGCTGCTTAAGTAGCACTCAATACTGTACCTCTCTGTACATATATTCCGGTTTTTACTCAAACGCACAGCTCTGCCTGTGCTGATGCCTTAAATCTTTTTGTTTTGACCAATTTCTTGATCTGCCTGGATCTAGAAATGAGCAAAGGTTTGGTTATAGGCAGAGTAAATACTTACCTTTTGCGATTTGAGTCAACACATCATCCCGTTCTTTATAAATCATCTTTCAGTCTTTTTTTTTTGTTCATAGGAAGAGATCATGCTGCTCCATAGTTAAAAGGGTCCAATACAAAATGACCAAAGATGCTGATTATAGGTTTCCATCTAGACGATTGTTCCTTTTCTGGTATTGTTGCTTCATAAAAGCAGATATCACAGCAAAGTTTAAGAACAATAAAAATCCTCTTCACCTTGATGTGCTTTGTCATTGAAATGCCACAAAAGTATTTAACCTAACTGATGTTAGGAGCTGGTTCCACCTAAATGTAGCTCCTAGTTTTTTTGCTATTGACTACATTGACAAAGTCCTAATAGTGAATATCAGATGCTGTCATGCTCTTTATCAAACATAGAAACACTCCCATGCTTTTAATGAAAAATTCAGCCTAAAAATACATTTTCATCCATTTTTTAAAGTTTTCTTTAATGAGCGAATGTCTTTCAGACTTGTAAATGTCTGAAAAAAAATCTGTTTTTTGTTTATAAACAAAAAAGATGTATGTTCTTGTGGGAGCCGGCTCAGACTATGGTCCAATAAAAATGTGACTTCAGGAAACAATCAAAAATGAATCTGTTGAGTTATTATCTCAATTATAAAAAGCAAACCTTTTCAATCTAATCTTGGTTATTTCGTATGGGGGTGATGTCTTTTATCCAAAAATGAAGGAATTACAAGATAAGCAGCACTGGTGCATCAATAATCCAATAGATTTCAACGTATATACGGCTACATTACTGGGGCATGTCGGGGACTGGTTTATGAATCATCAGAGGAAGCTATTTATTAAATAAATCTGTATACACAGTACAAGGACAAAGCTCATGTTGATCATAAAATAAATAAATATGAACTAAATCATAGCTGTCGCATCTCATTGTCGGTGTAGTGTTTAAAAATCTGTGCAAAACTTTGATACATAGCAGCATTTAAAGTCTGGTTGATTGATCAGTCAATTCATATATCGAGGTCTTGCAGGTTTCCCCAGCTGGGTCCAACTTTAACTTTAGCTTTTAGCTTCACATACAGCTTGACTGCTGATTCCATCTCCCTCTTTACTATCTGTGCAACCTGACAGTGGGAAAAAAATAGACAAAGTATTAGCATCTTTCTGCGATTTTAACCCGATGACCCAAACAGTGCTCTGTATACCTGTATGAGATCCTGTTCTGTGGTTTCATAAATGAGCTCATCATGCAGCTGTAGGACCAAGTAGGCTCCTCGAAGCCAAGACAACCCAATTCTGCGCTTATTAGGAGCTTCATAGGAGAGAGGGGTTATAAAAGTGTTGAATGGAAATCAGTATGTGTTTAGACAAAAAAAACAAATCCCATTGAGCTCACCTGGGTTTGCATGTTGGTGAGACAGCGGTGCTGCAGGAAAAGTCTTTCGTAACCGTTTCTGGATGTTGACTGTAGCCAGTTTGACGATGTCGGCCGCTGATCCCTGCACCGTTGTGTTTACTGCCTGTCTTTCTGCCTGAAAGGTCAGTGGAGGATGAGAAGGCAGTTCTGCATTTTATCCTAAAGTTAAACTTGGGTTTGCCAAGCTTGCTCACATGAGCTTTGATGTGTGGATTGGTGCTGGTGATCCCGGCTAAATATCTCCTTCGGCCCATCAGCGTCTGAACATAGCCATCCTTTAAACACTTCTTCACCGTCTGTTTAAGAAAAGCGTTGATCCCTGAAAGGTGACAGCATTTGAATAGAACTGTATCTGATGGCATTTTGACTGAATTTTAGCAGCGATTGTAGAGTTAAGATTAACCAGTTTTATATTTCAATTTCCTTTAATCCAAAAATCTAATAATTGCTGACTAGCTTTCTGCATTTTTCTAACAGCATTCAGTGAATTTAAAGATGGTCTCCGAGTCTCTTTTCCATCAACCTAAGCTTTAGCTCCTGCCACAGATTCTCTAGCAGATCAAAGTTAGGACTCTGGGCTTTCAGTTTCCATCATCATCCCTTCACTGATCTTTAAAACTAGGAGTTAGGTGAGCACAGTGATTTTAAACTCAAGCATAACAGAATATTTTGCCTTAATTTAATAAAAAAAAAAAAAAAAAAAAGAGCAGGAGGAGTGGAGTCCAGGCTTTCGGAAAAGAAAACTACCAGGCGTGGCAGTGGTAGCAGCATCATTTGGGTCTGTTTGCTCCTAAAGGTCCTGCTGAAACACAGTGTGGACTGAATAATAAAACTTCACCTCAATTTTACATCCAGATGTGTAAAACTCAGACAAAATTGGGTCACGCACAATGCAGGGAGAATAAATATGCTGCTCTAAAAAAAAATACTGTTTTTTGCAGTCACTTCAGTTTTTTTGTCAAGCATTAGAGAAATCAAATGAACTCCTGTTCATTGAGTAGAACTAGAAGGTGGTTATTACCAACATATATCGAAGTAGAGGTAAGTGGCTGATAATTTTGTGGGTCTTTGTTTTCTGAATCTCAGGAGTATTGCGGATGGATACCTTTGTATCTTGCTTTGAAACTCTCGATGTAACAGGCTGCATCGTTCTCTTCCACTCCCATTTGTTCCCCAAGTGATTTTGCTCCCATTCCATAGATGATCCCATAGCAAATCTGTCCACAAAGACAGAAAAGAAAAATATTACACCCAGGAAAGGTCACTAAAATAAAACCTCACGTTGAAATGTGCTGTCCACCCCATCCAGACCTGTTTGGCCTGTTGTCTGAGGCTGTCCTGCACAGACTCCGGATCCACACTTTTCCACTCAGCAGCAATGCAGCGAAACACATCAGCTCCCCCATTCAGTACCTAGTACAGAGTGGCAGCAAGTCATTTTTGTTAACAAATGTGTTTACCAGATTGTTTTGCAACACTGCTGACCTGCAGGAGGCGCTGGTCTTTAGAAAGGTGAGCCAGCACTCTCAGTTCCAGCTGAGAGTAATCAGCCGCCAGTATCATCCCACCTAGAGATCAATATGGGAAAACATGGATGATTAGGTTTGAAACAAAATACTGGGGACATTTCTTACAACAACAAAAAAAAGTCAAAACAGTACTATGATATGAACCTGAAAAAGGAATAAATGCATGTCTCATGCTGACGGAGAAGGCTGGGCCTTGCTCTGCAGATGCAGCTGTGGGACGTGGAGCCATAGAGTTTCTCCTCTTTCTGCAACAACAGTGTAACAGACAATCAGTCACAGCCACTCAGTTCTGCTCCATTTCAACCATCTTTCTATCACACTTTAAGTCAGATGAAACGGATCAATCCTTTCCTGTTAGACGTGAAACTATCAGGAAGCTGTTTCACATGTAGGATCATTATAAAAACGTTTTCTTATTTACCTTAGACAGTTTCCCATTTAAAAAAGAAAGAAAAACACTGGAATTCACAGAGTAAATTAAACATAAGGAGTGAAATTGTTTTAAATATACCCAAAAAAAGAGATTTATTTCCCAAAGAAACCAAGATGGACTTGGATGGGCAGTGCTGGCTTCAAATGTATCAGGGTTTAGGCTTTGACTAGGCCATGCTACACATATAAATGCATTGACCTAAACCAGGGGTCTTTAACTGGTCCTCAGATAGGTGTTTTTTTTTCTTCTTCTTTTTTCTTTTTTCTATTTTTCATGACAAACATACAATAAAACAAAAAACTGAGGATGATTTTTGATGATCGGAAGAAGTCGTTTTGAACTCAATATTATCCAAAGATCAACATTAAAACTGTAAAACTCAGATAGGTTTTAGATGTGTCTCTGCTCTACACCTGAATCACATGGATTGCATTCCTTCCTTAAAGACCATTAGAGGCTACAGAGGCTGTTGAACACCTATTTAGTGAAATCAAATTTGTCGAGGCAGAGAACAGCTAAAACATGCAGGACCAAGGTTAAAGATTCTTGATCTATTTTATGTTCTCTCTGGCTGTGCAGCATCTTAACAGCTTTTCTTCACTCTGTGTTTAGCAGAGATGGGTTAGTATGGGAGAGCACGTGGGTGGAGCTAAAGAAAAATGCCTGCCCCACATCATATTGCTGCCACTACCATGTTTCACCATTAGGATGGTGTACTCAATGCAGAAGTGGGTAGTTAATAGTTACATTTACATAGTTATTCATTTACCTAAATAACTTAGTGGAAAAATGTACTTTTAGGAGTAGTTTTACAGCATGGTACTACTCTTACTTCAGTAAGTTCTGGCTACTGCATCCATTGTGATTAAATTCACTTAATAAAAAATTGTTTTAAGCAAATATGCCCTAGACAACACCAACACAGGAGTCTTAGTCAATCCAAGAATTCTGGATCGGTGTTGAAACATCTTCAGAAAAGCTAAGCAAAAGTCTAGTTGCCTTCCAATTAAAGCCTGTTATGTGGTTGTTTTCAATCTGCTGAGTCTGCAGTGTCATTTGGAGGTTGGATAAAGCTATAGGAATCAGTAAACTGTAATTCAACCTCCTCAAAAATACTGTAACTATTGATTGAGTTGTTAAACTCAAAACTGCATTTCATTTTCATTTTTGTCTTCTTTTCTGAACCACCAGAAATTGCATATCACTAAATATTTTACATAAATTTGTTAAATATTAAATCTGTTGTAATGATCATTGGTAGTAAGTAGATCAGTTACTCAGTTCTTGATTAGCATTTTTTATCTTTTTTACCAAATACCTTTTTTACTCTTGAGTGACTTATTTAAATGCTACTTTTTAAATTTTACACAAGTAAAAATATAATGAAGTAGTGCTACTCCAAAGTGCATTTTTCTGGTACTCTACTCACCTCTGGCTCAAGGTGATATGCAGAGGAAGTTAAGACCACAAAGCAGAGCAGCTTGTTGCAGTTAAACCCCACATGACTAATGCAATTTAAAAAGAAGATGTTCCATAACTTTATGTTGTATATACACATGTAACCAATCTACCAATGGATGATTATTTGTATGATTTTTATTTAAGGGTTTTAGAGGACAGCTGGTTGATTATATATGTGAGCCAGTCCTTATTGACTACTGTGTATCAGTACATTGTGTTTTATGTTATATTGTGACATAATGTGAAAAAGAACCCATTGTTTTGCAGATCTCAAACTGA